CAGTCAGAAGAGAAGAAAGTAAAGGAGGAAAGTTGCCTCAGGGTCACCTTCTCTAGGTGTCCAAGAGAAAGCCCCTGCTCAGAGGGTGCCAGTTGTGAAGCATCAGCTCAGGCTCCCTCACAGGAGCACACATGCTGGGGGCTCACACCACACACATGGGATTCTCACACTCTGGGAGTCTGGGATGTCAAGGTCAAGATCTCACAAAGTCCCTTGCCCTGAGACCATCCTTCTTTCAGCAGGAGACCCTGCCTCCCTCTGTCCTCACAGGCCTTTGCTGTTGGGCGATTGAGAGTACAGAAGGGTTTTCCTTGGGTCTCTGTACTCCCATCTAATCACTCTTCCTGTGTCTTCATTTCACATTAAGTGGTGGTTTTTCATTCATGTCTACAAATAATCACAGTGAAATTGTTGAAAATGTGCATTGGTGGGGCAGAGTTGGGCTAACCCCAATATTCTCACGTGGCAAACTAATATATTGTCCATAGCACACAGGTAGTACTCACTTTCTACTCACACAGCGGAAATCAGATAATATTTTATCTAAAACTCTGCCATTGACAGTCATTTCAATGCTTTTCCCATCACACCCATGGGACCCCTGCCCCCATGAACAGAGAGAGTAGAGAGTAACTGTTACTGACCCAGCACTTCCAAGATCCAGGCTCTTGCTCTAGTCATTAACGGGTCTGTCTGCCATCTAGTGGCTGTTCTGTGAAAGGGCAACTTCAAAAGCTTCAGATGCTGGTCCCAGGGATTCTGAGAGGGACTTCAGCTGTCTTTGTAACATTCTATGCAACATTCTGATATCAGACCAGACTCTAATGTAAAAATATGAATAAAAGATTACCTTCCTTAACAAACTGTCAACTACTTGAGAAGAAAATGCTCACAAGAAGAGATGTGAGCTAAGGTTCAGGTACTAGGATCCTCATGAGACACTATGGATGTAGATTCAGAGAGAATTTCAGGAGCATCAGGAAGCTGCAGGTAAAATGACAGGTGACCAGTGAGGGAAGTCGGGAAGCAGAGGACTCCTGACTACTGACTTGTATGGTAGACATCTCCATGCTTCCTTCCAGAACCCTCCAGACTGGCTTATAGTCCCAAGCTATTGCATGAGTAAGGACGTTCTGGGGTCATCAGCCAACAGGCCATGATTTGCTATGTCTGTCCCCATCACTAGGAGTGAACCACTATGACATAGTAGCCAATAGCGTTTTTTGTTGTCATTGGTGGTGATGCTAGGTCTCAGGTTCTGGGCCTAAGATATTAATTTTACTTTAGTCTAATCAATTGGTTTCATTATGTTTTGAACATATTATCATGATGTTTTATACAGTATTTTCTACCAACATATCCAGAACAAAAGATTACAATATTATTCACATTTGATATGACAAACAACTTTGATGCGTACACCAATGTAGATGATGTATGAGGCCGATTGTGGAAATTCTCCAGGTTTCTGCTGTTTTTAGACACTTATGGATATTCTCTGGATCACAAGTATGTTCACATGAACCACTTATGTACCTTTTCTCAGAGGAACACAGAGCTTAGGGCTCTGATTCATCACAGACCAGTGGCCAGGAAGTAACAAGTACCTGGCTGAGGTTCACCTGCTTGATTCACTGTGAGATGCAGTTACAAAGCTTTCATGTGTGAACATCAGTCATACAATCATCAAACACCCATCCCTTCAACAGTGCACATTTTCCACCACAAAAATCCCAGTATTCCTCCCCCGCAACCCCATTTCAATCCTTCCCCAGCCTGTGTGGCAGACAATTTCCCCCATACTCCCTCTACTTTGGTTACATTCGATATTTCGACACCAGTCCAACCACCACTCAAACCTGCCGAAAAGGCAATGCTAGATGCTTAGTTTTGTATTGATTGTTACAGATAGAATATAATGTCCAGAAAATTCTGTGTCATTCTCTTCTGGGAGCTTTAGTTTATAGTATCTAGGTCTTGGCCTTTGATGAGATTACGTGGTGTGGGGGGCAGTTTGTGGGTGTGATTGCCATGCTACTAGAAAACTGAGGGCCTGTAGGGAGGAGGCCTAGTCCCAATCCTAGCGAGCTTGGAGATCTCAGTCACAGGTTCCTGCATATCTTTGTTTTCCTGCAGGTCTGCTCTTTGTGAGGTTCATCCCATCCTGAATGAGACTTGTCCCATCTTCGGTGAGGCTCGTCTCAGCATGTGGAGAGTGGCCTTGAGCATGGTGGTGTTTGGGTTCTGGAGGTTTTCAGCTGCTGGTTTTCTGTTTGGTGCAGGGAGGGAAACTCATGCCGGCCACTTCTGAGGTACACTGGTGAAGACAGTCTGGTGCAGGGTCAGGACATTCTGGGTGCTCTCTTCCGGGAACTTTAGTTTATAGTCTCTGGGTCTTGGCCATTGATGAGATTACATGGCACTGGGGGAAGTTTGTGGATGTGATGGCCAAGCTACTGGAAAACAGGAGACATGGGGGGAGGAGGTCCAGTCTCGATCCAAGTGGGCTTGAAGATCTCAGTCACGGGTTTCTCCTTACCTCCGCGCTACTGTCCCTAACTGTGCCTTTTGATCCCTTTCGAGATTTGTGGGTCTCTGAAATAAGGCAAATAAATGAGCTTATATAGCTGAGGCAGAGGTGGTTTGTGGGTGTCACTCCAACATACCTAACTGTTGTCCCTTGAATTTCTTGGTAAACTTGGCCACAAGTTGTTGTGGTCTGACCACTGGCACGGCAGCACTTTTGGGGTATCTGAAGTCTGAAAGCACCATCAGGCTGCTGATGCACTCGCCCCTCAGGTATGGGTTGACCTGCTGGCAGCACTGTAACCCCCACCCATGGTCTTTAGGAAAAACTATTTTCATAAAGTAAATCAGCAGATTTGTAGTGACATCATTAGGGAGATAATTGTGAGACTAGATGTGTCGCTAAACTCCCATCACATCACACCTTGACTGCATCTGGCACTCTCAGCAAGGGAGACACCAGGTAAAGCAGCTGGGCCAGCCCAGCCTCACACAGCTGATCTTTGGGAGTTTATGTTCTGGTTTGTATTACTGTGGGAGAGAGATTATTATGGGTGCGGACAGTAATAAGTGGCAGCATCCTCAGGCTTCAGACTCCTGTTGGCGAGGGTGAAATCTGTCTCAGATCCACTGCCACGATGTAAAATGGTTTCTATGAAACTTACTTTGGATGTGAGTGTAGAGAAAGAAAGGAAGGATGTGTATAAGAGAAGACATGGGTTTCATTAGCATGGGAAAAGCAAAGAGACTTTGAGACTAGCAAGTGCCATACATGTGCAAGGGAGAAGGGGGCTTAAAGAACAAGCTGAAATTTTTCTCTTTTATATGATCTCTCAGTTGCCCACATCTCACCCCAATCCTTCACTGTAAATAATTTGGTGTAAACTTCATTTCGTATTCCAAGGTAGTGAGTACAACAGATTACAATTCCTGACACTAAAAGTGGCTTTTTCCTCATGACAGTTTAGTCTGAAATCCCCCTACTCAAGGGAGCACATCTCTGCCCCTCCCAAGGTCTGCAGTGCTGATCCCTGGCAAGAAGCAGTTTCTCCCTCGGTCCACATCAGTAGGTTCCTTGGCCAGTGTGGATATCTCCACTAAGAGGCTCTATCTGTGTACATGTGTCACCACAATTTGATATGGGAAAGTTTTCATTATGGTACTAAAATACCTATTAAAACAGTAGTTTCTGGACAATGTAAAGTGATTGTTCCTGCATGAACTCTTGATGTCACTGTCACCAAATTTGTTGAGGAAAATAATTTCAAAAAATAAAATCTGCGAGCCAGAATCTGGAAAAAACCTGAGTGCCCAAGAACAGATGACTGGTTAAAGAAACTTTGGTACATTTACACAATGGAGTACTATGTAGCTGTTAGAAAAGATGAAGTTATGAAATTTACTACAAGTGGTACTACATGGAAAGTATCATGTTAAGCGAAATGAGTCAGAAAGAGCGGGATAGACACAGAAAGATTGCATTCATCTGGGGAAAATAAAGCAACAAAAAGGGAGATTAACCCCCAGGAATGGCTGAGATTAGTACCAGGAATTTTGCTCCATGAATGGAAGGCCAGCCACAGGCTCTAGGTGAAAAGGAAGCTCAGATAGAGAAGAGAGTACCAAATGAAGGGTGTTGTGAGGATCCTCCCAGGGTGGGAGAAGCATGCTAAAAGTAGTCGATAGACCAAACATGATTGCCACTCAAAGCCTCTCTTGCAAAACACAGTACCCAAAAGAAGAGAGAGAGAACAAGGGGGAATACCCTGCCACAGAGGCAGGATGGGACGGGTGGGCGGGGGGGATGAGGGGTGGGAGGGGATGCTGGGACCCGTGGTGATGGATGACGGGCACTGGTGGAGGGATGGGCACTTGATCATTGTTTAACTGAAACCCAAGCACAAAATTTGTAAGCCTATAACTGTACCTCATGGTGTTTCACTAATAAAAAAAGAAAAATAAATAAATAAAATCTGCACTGTTTTCCCGTTGTTCATCAATTTGTTCGAGAGGGCCCAGTAACGTCTCCATCGTGAGACTTGTTGTTACTGTGTTTGGCATATTGAATACCTCATGGGTAGTTTGCCAGGCTTTGCCATGCGGGTGAGATACTTTTGGTAGCTTGCCGGGCTCTTTGAGAGGGGCAGAGGAATCAACTCTGGTCGGCCATGTTGGCTGCATATAAGGCAAACGCTCTACTGCTGTGCTATCGCCAGATCTATTATCATGCAGAGCTGCTGAGATGAGAGCGGGTAAAATGGAGACTAAAATATTGTACCAGAATATCCTCTAATGGCTCAGCATAGCTGCATCTGACACACTCTCAGAAAAAGTAAGAACGAGGGGCAGCTGGGCCAGCCCAGCATCGCACAGCTGATCTCTGGGGGTTTATGTTCTGGCGTGTATCACTGTAGGAGGGCTTCTGTTATACTGTTGACAGTAATAAATGGCAGAATCCTCGGGCTTAAGATTGCTTATGGGAGAGTAAAATCTGTCCCAGACCCACTGCCACTGAACCGGGGAGGGACGTCTTGTCCTAAGCTGGTTGCACCATAGATCAGGAGCCTAGGAGATTTCCCTGGTTTCTGCTGATACCAGGCTAACCATGTGTTAATGCTCTGACTGGCTTTGCAGGTGATGGTGACTTTCTCTCCCAGAGACGCAGACAGGGATGGAGTCTGAGTCATCTGTATATCACACCTGGCACCTGGAATTGAAAATATAAAGACATATTGTGGCCATTCATCTTACTTTATATTATTCTCCCTGAAGTCCAGTAAACCCTCGTTTCCCTCCTTACCTGGGAGCCAGAGCAGTAGGATGCTTAGGAGCAGCACAGGGGCCCTCATATCCACTCTGGATGTGACAGACACTGACCCTGCAGGGTGACACAGACTATTATTGAGTGTCCAGGCATGGGCTCTGAGGACTTGCAAATGAGAGGGGGCTGGGCAGGCTGGGCAGGCAGATAGGGGAGGGTGAGTGTGAGGACTAGCCCAGCTGCATGGAAGTCAAGGGTCCCTGTGGGTCCCTGTGGGGAAGCAAAACTTTGCCCACAGAGAACATGCTCCTCCCTGGCCCCAGGTGGGCCCCAGTGTGAGCACAGAAAGGCGGGTCCCTGGAATCCTGTGTTAGGACACTACTTTTTACTTTCTCTACCCCAGAGACAGGCTTTGTCAGAATACACTTTTTAGACTTCCTTAGGAATTGTACAAGTTCCTTTGATTTCTCATCTGTGGATAAATTTGAGGCAAGGGATGTTTTCTGTTTGCTTTGGAATTGCATTATATTTTACTGCACTTTGTAAAGGATTAAAATGTTATATTTTTCTATTTGATAGTGGGAGGACTCTTTTTCAATGCTCACAGAACCTGATGATCACTCTGATCATTATGTAGCTATAGGAATCAGCAGTTCAATGCCGGAAAGCAGGATGCAGGGTATTGTGATGCTGCAGTGCTGGAACTGACGTCAGGCCTTTGTCTACAAGTGTTCTGGGTGATGTGGGTCCTGTGCTCACATGTGAACCCCAGCACTTGCCACCTGATGGTCAATCTCCCTCACCGATCACTGTATTATTTTGTGTAAGAAATTATTACTATTAGCAGAGAGGAATGCAATGAGTGAAAAAAGTATTATATAAACATTTGGGGTCTTGAGTTATAAATAAGGGCTAAGATAAAGAATATCTAACAGCCCAATCCACTCGTCTTATCTCTCTATCCTGCACCTGAGAAACTAGTCCATTACTTCCAAGTCAACGTAATAGCAGAAACTTTATTTCTTCGCCTTGAAACATTTGTTTCTTTTCCAGCTGTAATTCCTGACACAGACCTGAATATTCCTTGACATCCTTGAACTCTCTTCCTATCTTTCATCCTCTTCCCCTAAGCTGGCCAGTTGAAAATGTATTCAGATGCGGTGGCTGAGATAGTACAACTTGACCAAAACATATCCTCTGTTTCATCACTGGTGCATCCCTTGCTTGAAAACCTTGTGTTACTCCAAAGACACAGCAGCTCTCAGACACCAGATGAAAGACTTAGTGTCTTGAGAAGATTGAGGTGATAACACTAAATAGCAGCCAATGGCTGCCCCCTCACAGCATACGGGGTTCACAGACACTAAACAAACAACTCTATAGGGTGCAGGGTGCCATCTGGTGTGAAGCATTGAATGTGGGGTAAAGATAGGACTCATGCATGAACAAGGAGAACTGTCACTCTGGGCTCCGGCAGAAATCTGTGAGGTGTGAGTCAGCATCCGGGTTCCTAAGGGGGCCGTCCCACCACCCCATTAACATCACTCTTCTTTCACTCTGGGGGCAGTCCCTGAAACTGCAAACCATGTTCTCCTGCAATATCCTATGGTCCCACAGCACTGAGTTCAGCACCCGACAGACCAAACCAGACCCCCATGAACCTCTACCCCAAGTTTGTTCAGGAGGGAGTTATCAGTGATAGGGAAAAAACACACACAGTAAACCCTGAGCACTGCTAGTGTGACCCCAAAGAAAACAAAATATTATCTAAAACATTTATTTACTTGGAAGCCACTCATGTCCTGCTCATAGGAACCGATGGTCACTTTGAAAACTACTCAGCCATCTGGCTGAAAAATTCAGTTCTAGGACCATTTGGCTTCACATCTTTCTGATCAAAACAAGAACAACAACATCTTCACCCTAAAGGCAAGTTTAGGCTCAACAAATCGGCAGAGCATGAAGCCTGAGCAGGCAGAGTACAGGGTAGAGAGGTAATGGGATCCCCCCTTATCTGAGGTGCCCCTGAGGCAGCCCTGCTCTCAGGGTCCAGGGGTGTAAAATATCATCTCAGGCTTCCTCACAGGAACATGCAGGTCAGGGGCTCACATCACAAACATGGAATTCTCAACTCTGCGACGCTGCAGAGTGAAGGTCAATGTCCTACAAAATCCCTTCCCCTGAGACCTTTCTCCTGTCAGCAGGAGCCTCTTTCTTCCCTTGTCCTCACATGCTTCTCCAGGGGTAGTGCATGTGGGAATAAAGGGGGTTCCTTGTGTCTCTTTATACTGTCTTGTTATCCTCCCTTCTGTGACTTTACAATAAGTGATAGTTTATCTTCCTTGTCTACAGTCATGATGAAATAATGTCACAATATAAACTGGGGAGATGTGGAGAAAGGGTAACTCCAATAATGATTCCAGCAGACAGGTAATACTGGACTTCTGCCCACACTGCAGGAACATGATAATTTGCATAAAACTCAGCCTCTGACAGCTACTTCCATACATTTACCATCAATCCCACAGGACCCACTGTCCCTGTTGAGAGTGGAACACTAGCTCAGTTACTGTCCCGGTGCTTTTAAGATCCAGGTTCCCTGCATGTGCAGTTATGGGGTCTGTCTCCCATCTAGTGGCTGTTTTCTGATACGGCTGCTAAAATGATTTCAGATGCTGGTCCTCATGATTCAAGAGTCACTTTTTATGTCAGTCTTCGAAACACATATACAACACAAGGCCAATCTGTAAGCTCAAAGCAAAAAATGATTTCTCTTTGTAATAAAATGCTCAGATAACTGTGAAGTAACCATGAATAGGGGATCAGGAATTCAAGAGGGACGTGTGTCACCAGAAGCTAAGTGCTAGTTTTTTTCATCCTCACATGTCATGGATCTAATTTCAGAAAATTCTTCAGGAAGGAAGAGGAAGCTGCAGGTGAAATGCCAGGTGAGCAGTGGAGGTGTGTCAGGGAACAGAGGGCTCCTGACTCCTCAGGTTGTCTTGTCAATCTATCTCCATGCCTCCTTTCAGAACTATCCAGACTCACTCTGAGACCCACAGCTGCTGCACCAGTGAGGCAGCCTCAGAAGCCATCAGCCTATGGATATGACTGGTGAGGTCTTTCCTCATGGCTGCTTTAAAAACCAGTGTGATATTTCAACTATTAGTGCCCAATAGCACTGTTTAATTTGTTGGCATCACTAATCTAGCCCAGGGGCTCAGACATGAAAAACATGTGCTCCAGCTCATTTACTTATCTGTGTTCCTGGTTCTGGATTTTTTTTGTTTTTGATGTGAGCTTATGTATAAATGTTTTCAGAAATGGCTTTTGGTACTTCAAAAGAAAGTACTTCCCTGTACAACTTAGTAGCTTGTTTGATTTCACTTCAAAGTATTAGTTTGGCCCAATTAAAGTCTTTCCACTGATTGATCAAAATAAAAGTGAGGTTTTAGGTAGTAAAACTCAGCCACATCACCGGGACAACAGGTGATATAGATATTCCTGTTCCCTTTAGCCAACTGTGTCTGATACACCTGTCAGTGTGCATGTTACACGTGGCAGATCTCTGGAAACTTCCCAGATTTCTGTTTCTGTTGGACATGTATGGAGATTCTGTTGAGTCCCTGTGGAAGCTGGATGTTGGGCCCACAGGCTGCACTAGAACCCAGACACAGAGACTGAACTCCAGGGTGTCCCTGTGTTGATTGCGTCCCCAAGGCCATTTATGTGCTAGAGCAGTCATGGCTGTGACACTGCACAAGCTGAGCCAAGGTCTCATCTCAGTGCCCAGGTCACAGGCACCTGCCCTTAAGCCCCCACATTCCCGTTCTCAGCTGGAGCCAGAGCCCAGGATCTAGGGGACTCAGAGTCTGTGTTCAGGGAGCAGCAACTCCATGGCCCAGGGTTGTTCTGTCCACAGGCTGGGACTAGTTTGGCAAAGGCTCTCTATTGTCGGTCTGGGTTTATAGGGATGGAAAAACAAAATATGGGTTGAAGATCGGGACTCTAGTCTTTTATTCTTGGATGTCACCTTATATTGAATCTTTGAATTGATGTATTAAATTCAGAATTAATTTTGCCAGAAATGATGCATTTGTGGTCTATTAGAGTTGAAAATTATATCGCTAACAAGGAATTTCCTTAGATAACAATGATTTCCCTCCCTCCCATTTATATTCACTGAGAAGTTTTAGATCCTTAGCATTTAGGGAAGTTCAGTTATTGTGATTTTGGACATCTTCCCTTCAGGACAAGAAAGCAAGACTTTGGGCTTAGTACACAATGTTGAAAGTTTATTCTTTTGTATGATCTCTCGCTTGCCTGTATTTCCTCCAAACCTTCATTGTATGTAATGGGAAATAAACTACATTTCACACTCAAAGATATTGATTTTAAAACACCAGTGTTCCTGTCATTAAAGTTGGCTTTTTTTTTCAGTGGCAGTTTAGTTTCCAATGTCCCCATTCAAGGGAGCACATCTCTTGTCTCTCACAAGGCCCTGGCAAGATGCCGTTTCCCACCTCAGTCCACATCAGAAAGTTCTTATTGGTCACGTGAGAATGCTCCAATAAGTATCCATCACACTTTGATGTGGGAAAATTTCCATTATGCTTTTAAAATATCTATTGAAACAACAGTTTCTGGACCATCTAAAGTGATTTTTTCTGCATGAACTCTGACCTACCGCCTAACTCTTGAGGGAAAATAATTTCAGTAAATAAAATCAGCAGATTTATTGTCATGCCAGTGCTGCTGGCATGATAGGGAGAAATAATGGAGACAAAATTCTTAATTCTACTTGTACCAGAGCATTTTCTGCCATCACAGCCTGGCTGCATCTGACACTCCCTCAGCAGTGGAGGCACCAGGAGGAGCAGCTGGGGCAGCCCAGCCTCACACAGCTGAACTCTGGGGGTTTATGTGCTGGCGTGTATCACTGTGAGAGGGTAAGCATTATGCCGTAGACAATAATAAGTGGCAACGTCCTCAGGCATCAGGCTGCTGATGGTGAGAGTGAAATCTGTCCCAAATCCACTGCCACTGAACCGGGGAGGAACGTCTGGTCCTAAGTTGGTTGCCAAATAGATCAGAATCCTGGGAGCATTCCCTGGTTTCTGCTGATACCAGGCTAAAAAATTGCCAATGAACTGACTAGCCTTGCAGGTGATTGTGACTTTGTCTCCCAGAGATGCAGACATGGATAGAGGCTGGGTCATCTGGATATCACACCTGGCACCTGAGATAAAAATATAAGTGGACATAATTATCATTAATCACAAGTTAGATAATTTCCCTGAAAACCCAGGTAGTCCATATTCATGTAAACCCTCATTTTCCTCCTTACCCGGGAGCCAGAGCAGCAGGAAGCTGAGGAGCTGCACAAGGGCCCTCATGTCCACGCTGGGAGTGACAGACACTGACCCTGCAGGGTGACACAGACTATTATTATTAGTGTGCAGGCATGAGCTCTGAGCACTTGCAAATGAGAGGGGGCTGGGTAGGCTGGGCAGGCAGAGGGGGGAGGGTGTGTGTGGGACCCAGCCCAGCTGCAGGGAAGTCAGGGGTGTGGGTCCCTGTGGGGAAGCAGAACTTTGCCCACAGAGAACATGCTCCTCCCCTGGCCCCAGGAGGGCCCCAGTGTGAGCACAGAAGGGCAGGTCCCTGGTCTCCTGAGAGTCAGGACACAGTTTCTTACTGTCTCTGCCGAGGGCCAGGCTTTGTTAGACTGATGTCGGTGGGCCCCACGGGTGACTTATGTGAAGTGGGGAGGAAAAAGACAGCCACTTTCTCCTCACCCGCCTCTGCCACCCGGAACCCTGGGTAGGCTAGGACTGGTAAAGTCTGCAGTGAGCACCTGCTCAGCACGGGCCTGAGCCCTGCCAGCCCCACGAGGTGGCCGTCAAGCCACACCTGAAGTTCGCTTGATCTTCTCGGCACGGGAGTTAATCCCCGCCACCCGATTGCTCGGGGAGCCACGGACTCAAGCTGGGGCGAGAATTTGCTCTTTGCAGGAAAGGAGAGACCAGTCCCAAGCCTTACCCGAGGTTTCTGGGGTTCTTGTCTCGCTCGCAGAAAAGAATTTCAGGAGTAGACGAGCAGTGAAGTAACAGGTTTTATTTGGAGGCTTTTGGAGAGGGAGAGGAAGGGATAAGCAGATAAGCAGGGGAATGGGGAGTAAAAGAGAGAGAGTAACGCATCCAGAGGGAACGCGGGCTTCTCCGAGGGTGGAGAGAGCGCCAAGTGGGCTCTCGAGCTGGTTCTTATAGATCCTTCTGACTCAGAATGTTCTGGAATCTCCTTGGGGCTGAGTCGCTGGAGTCAACTGGATTGAAAGGGGGTTCGAGAATCATCTGACTTGGAATGTCCTGGAATCTCCTTGGGGCTGGGTCGCTGGAGTCAACCGGATTGAAAAGGGGTTCGAGAATCATCTGACTTGGAATGTCCTGGAATCTCCTTGGGGCTGGGTCGTTGGAGTTAACCGGATTGAAAGGGGGGTTCTCGGAAAGGAGGAATTTCATGGAGAGGAGGCCCATATCTTCAGGGTCTGGGGATGGTTTTATCAAGTCCTTATTCTCTGTCTCCACAGGGTGGGTTGGTCCTAGAATTCTTCTTCTATGAGACTTTGTTTCATTGCAGAGAGCCTTTCCTTATCTACCTGCCTACATCAAGACCACAGTATACAGACACTCTCATGAATTGTAGACTCCTTCAAAGTCACATCTTTGGATCAAACTGGGGGCATGGAATCTTCCATTTAGATTTGATATACTGGTATTATTGGTTTTAGAGATGTCATCACAACCAAGAGAAAATGTTGTATGTAAACAGCAGAAAAACTCTGCAGTCATGGTTAGCACACCTTGTCCAAATACATTCCTGAGACACAGTCTCACCACTTCCACCTCAGACTCAGATTGTGGGGTTTGTTCTCCACATTTATAAACGCTCTCTGCCTTCTGAGAACCACCAACATACACTCTACTCTTTGGACATTCTTCTATGTTTTTCAGTCCCTCTTTCACTGAAAGATTCCCTTCTGAGCTGACCAGATGGAAATGAGTCCAGAAGGGATAGATGGGATTAATCGCCTCCACCGAATTCCCCTTGAATGCATTGTTCTCCTTCAGCCCACATCCTATATCGCACATCTCTTTTTCTTGTTTTTTTGTTTGTTTGTTTTGTTTTGTTTTGTTTTGTTTTTGGATCACACCTAGCAGTTCTCTGGGCTTACTGCTGGCACTATGCTCTGGAATCACTCCTGACAAGGTTCGGTGGTGGAGGTGTGTGGTAGTCTATGGGACAAGGATTGAAACTGCATTGGACACATGCAAGAAAACACCCTACCCGCTGTACTATCTTTCCACACAGCTCTTCTAATTTTGGGGCAACTCTTAGAAAACCCAGGTGCAGGGCATTGAGACTCAAGTAAGGTTAGGGTACAACAACACAGAGAAATGATGCTCATTTCTTAGAAGTGGGTGTCAAAGAGGGCACGAGTTAGTGTCCAACCTAGCATCTAGGCCCTGACAGGGGCTAATACCCCAATGAGCTGGTGAGGATAGACTGCTGGGTGAGATGAGTCAGTGTAGACCCTTGTGGTGATGTCTCCACTCCCACCTCCCCACCCCCATTCAGTCACTGTTTCTTCATTCATTAGAATGCCCCTGGAAGTGAAAACCAGCAAAGGCTTGAAAGTCCAGTGTTCCTCCACATCATCGAATCTAAGCTTCATGATATCTGTGGACTCTCTTCCATAAACTGCTGGCTCAGTTGGTAGAGTTCTAGTTCTGAGAATTCCAGAGTCCTGGGCAGAGTCAGAGTTCCATGGAAGGTAGCACAGAAGGTCCTGGGGAGCCCTACAGTGATCATGGAGTCTAGTGGAGATGGGTTTCCTCCAAGTGATCAGCCTGTGACTTGGGCCTTCCCCGGTACTACTGTCAGACAGAGGAAGCACAGGGAGCCTCAAATTCTGCAGGAATCCTGACAGGACACTACAGAGCCATTTGAGACCTCACACCTGACTCAGCAGGAGAGATCTCACCCCAGCCCTCCCCACACACACTGCAGTCCACCATTGATTTTTAAGGCTTCCAGGGTTCTGCTTTCACTGGACCACTGGTGGTCCCATGAACAGACTTTAAACCAATTCCTGCTATGTGATTCCCATCAGCTCACTTTACCAGATTACTATTCTGCACAGGGATTCTCTAAGACAAGGCAGAATAAGGGTTGCTAGTGACAGGATGGGAGAGAAAGAGACCTCAATTACAAAGGACACCAGAGGAGAATAAAGCTGGGAGAACTGGGTGTGTGTACTCAGAAGAGCAGCTCACATCAGACACACACTTTTGCCTGCACTGTTTGCTCCTGAGAAGTTGCCCTGAGGTGGTTATGATGGTCAGGGGAAGGGTTGGGGGAGAAGGAGGATGAGACTGCAGGGTGTTCACACAATCCTATCATCACCAGAGGCCCTAAGACTGCGCATTCCACCACAGGAGCAGCAGGTGTGGAATAGTCTGAGCTCCTGTGGCAGTTTCCTCTGATGGTGAGGAGGGGACAGAGCAGCTGTCACCATCTTGCAGAGCCTCAGGGGGAATGGGCTGAGCAGAAGCTCAGAGCTAGATTCAGTCTCAGATGCTCTCAACACTCATATTGGCCCTGCAGGGACACTGACCTTCTCCTGGAACAGCCAGGGGGACTGGAGGTGGGTGGCATTATGTTCCCCATGACATCTGAGTGAAGCCGCATAAGGACACCCAAAACACAACTATCAAGGTGATAGTTCCTTCAATTGCCTGACAAGGTGAAAATGATTTCCGAGTTCTCAGCAGTTAAAAGAGAAGAAAAAGAAAAGTTGCCTCAGGTCATCTTCACTGGGTGTCCCTGAGCCTGACCCTGCTCAGAGGGTGCCAGGTGTGAGGCATCTGCTCAGGCTCCCTCACAGGAACACACAGAATGGGGGCTCACACCACACACACACACACACACACACACACACACACACACACACACGGGATTCTTTCACTCTGGGAAGCTGGAGAGTGAAGGTCAAGGTCCCTCAAGGTCAATTCTTGTGAAAAACTCCTCCTGTCAGCAGGAGCCCCATTCTCCCCTTGTCCTCACAAGGCTCTCTTGGAATTTGTGCCTGTGGGGACTGCAATGGGGTGGAGAGGGGTGGTGGCTGTGTTCCCTGGTGTCCCTAAGCTCCCATCTAATCCCTCTCCTGTGATCTCGTTTTACCTTAAGTGACTCTACAGCTCTATCTCTGAAACATCACAGAGGAACTAAAGTCAAATTATGAGCACTAGATGGGGGATCAAAAGTCCACAGCAGAGAGGCAGGATGGGACTTCTATCCCCACAGCAGGAAAGGGTGAAAATCTGACTACAACTCAGACCCCAACAGCTTTCACACTTTCCCACCACAGCCTTGTCCCTGCTGACAATGGACCTGTTACTGTCTCAGGGTTTCTAGGATTCAGGGTCTCTCTTGTCATGTATGGGGTTTGTCTGCCATCTTATGGCCATCATTTGATACAGCAACTTAATAGGTTTCAGCTGATGATGATCTCTGTGCTGCTGCGATTTAGAGAGACTTTCCCCAAGTCTTTAGAACAGACACTGTAAAGTCTCAGCAAGGCGGACTATACAAAAATGTACCTCGATGAAGCCAATCATATTTTCACCTTCAACCTCAGTCCATTGGTTTCACTTGCTGACAGTGAAACAAATAGACACACAAGCGATAAAAAAACACACATACAAGGACTGTACAAAATTTCTGTGACCTAGGCACTCTTGGGGAGCACACAGGAAACCACATTTCAATGCAATGTCATCATCAACCTAGGTCCCAACTTGTGAGCCATTGTTTGCGAGAGGCATTAAGGACAGGGAGTATCTCCAATTTCAATGAAGAGACAGAGGCTGAACTGTCACAGAGCTAATCAGCAGGAATCTTCAAGCATCAAGTCTGGACTCTGTCTCTGTCTCTGTCTTTCTTTCCCTCTCTCTCCTTCGCCTATGGTGCTCTCTACAACTCAAAGACATTAAATGGTTTAATCTATCATTTTCAGGTACACTTATGCTGTTTGTGTCCATTTCTATGTGCCTGGTTATATACTCTCAGATATAAACTACATAGTAACTTTTCAATATCTGTGTTGCAAATCATAACGCCCAAAAGAAAGAAAGAGAGTAGAGAAAGAGAGAGAGAGAAATGTGATCATCATAGGAGCAGTGTAGGGTGTGTGTGTGTGGGGGGGGGGGTCTGTTTTACCCAGGGGACTATTCAGACCTTGGGCTTTTCCCTAAAGGGGAAGTCTCAAACAACAACGTGAAAAACAAAGTGTTCATTTTCCTAATACAATGGTCAGCTAGTTGAAGAGAAATGACTAATAGGTGATCAGGGCTTTTTCCCTTTTTTTATTTTTCCCTCTTGCCCCCCCACCCCATGCTGCTTCTATGAAATTCACATTTCCCTCTCTTTCTCCTCAATCTTTTTTTACTTTTGGGCATTATGATTTGGAACACAGATATGAAAAGTTATCATGTATATCCCTTTTCCTGATTTTAATACTCAGTTCTTATCCTGAGTGAACATTTCCAATTTCTATTGTCATATTGGAGGTTACCAGAGTTTAGAAGAGAAGCCAGGCACAAATAGGGAAGATCTTGGGACTGAGATGCCAGTATATGTCCAGACATTACTTTTGAAAAGGCAGGAGAGTCCAGAGTTGAGGAGGAGCCTGTAAGGATAAAGGAAATCGTGAGGGTGGGATGGCAGAAAGCAGAGGGCTCTTGGCTCCTCTGTAGAGTGGCTAATGCAGCCTCATTCCTCCTTCCAGGATAACCCAGACCTGCTCTGAGAACCACGCTGGCTCCACCACTGAGGAGGGTTTAGAGCCATGAGCTCTAGACCAAGCCCTGTGAGGACTGTTCTTATGAATCCATGAGACACCTAGGGGGGGAAATCAACCAATAGTGACCCATCATGGATTTTTGTGTGTTAGGATTCAACCCCAGGGTCTCATACATGCTCTTCTACATCACTGGTCCTGAGTGATTTTGATCAGGAGATTGCGATCATGCTTTTCCAATGTATAACTGACTGATTCTACAAATGATTATAGTGGAGAGACTTGAAATGCAGCTAGTACAACTCGGTAGTTTTACATTTAAGGTTAGTATAATTTAAGACTATGAAGCCACATCTTAACTGCAGCAAATTCTTTTTTTTTAAATTTTTTAAAAATTTTTTTAATTAATTAATTTTTTTTTAATAGTGAGACATCATGAGGTACAGTTGCAGACTTACACATTTTTGTGCTTGGGTTTCAATTATACAATGATCAAACACCCATCCCTCCACCAGTGTGCATTTCCCACCACCACCGATCCCAGTATCCCTTCCACCCCCCAGCCCCCATCCCACCCTGCCTCTGTAGCAGGGCATTTCCCTCTCTCTCCTTTTGAGTGCTGTGGTCTGCAAAAGAGACATTGAGTGGCAATTATGTTTGGTCGATAGTCTACCCTCAGCATGCTCTCCCATCGTGGGCAGATCCTCCCAACACCCTTTATTTGGTGTTCCCTTCTCTTTCTGAGCTCCCTTTTTCCCCTAACATGTGTGGTTGCCCTCCGGGTCATTGAGTAAAATTCCTGGTACTAATCTCTGCCATACTTAGGTGTTAGTTTCCTATTTTGTTACTTTATGTTCCCCAGATGAATGCAATCTTTCTATGTCTATCCCTTTCTTTCTGAGTCATTTCGCTTAACATGATACTTTCCATGTAGTACCACTTGTATGTAAATTTCATGACTTTTCGTCTTTTCTAACAGCTACATAGTACTCCATTGTGTAAATGTACCAGAGTTTCTTTAACCAGTCATCTGTTCTCGGGCACTCAGCCAAGCGGCACAAATGCTGACCGACTTCGACTGTGAGTGTGGAAAGGTCAGATTACAGCTGAATCTCATGAAAACAATGTTTATGAGAAATGGTCTCGTTTTGTCCCCAGGCTGACCCTGAGTCTCCTGTGCTGCTCCTGAAAATTCACCTGTGGACACTGTCCCCAAGGCAGTCTAGAGAGATCTATGTCCTCTAGATACTGCCCTGCTGAGTTCCAGGGTTCCAGAACCCCCATGTCCCT